GCAATATAGGTAGATCCTGTCTCAAAAACTAAAAAGAGCTGAAAATGCAGCCTGGTGATAGAATGCTCCTGGGTTTGATCCCCAGTACCAGGGTAAAAAAAAAAAAAAAGGATGGGTGGGTGTAGCTCGGTGGTAAAACACTTGCCTAACAGTGCAGAGGCCTGGCTTCTATTAAAAAAGGAACAGCCTACTTGGGGATGTGGCTTAGTGGTAAGACCATCTGTTTAATGGGCGTGAGGCATTGGGTTCTATCCCCAGCACCACCACCGAACGTGTAAGGGACAATCACAATCATTAGACAGAAACGCGCTGTGGGGAGCCCTTGTGACATTTTCACTCTAGCTGGTATCAGCCTAACATCGCTGGGACTTGTCCTTTCTTGGCCACTTATCACCCAAGTCCAAAACACTATCACTGAAGGCAAGTCTTGCCCCAGGTTACCTGATTTCAAAGGCTGGAAAACTCTATCCCTGGGGGGCTGGTGAGATGGCTCAGTGGTCTAAAAGCACCTACTTAGAACAAGCTTAGCAAAGCAGAGGGGCCGCGGTTCAATCCCCCAGCACCACATGCTCAGCCAGCCCTGCCCCCTGGTGGGCTGAGCTGGCCACACACACACAAGTAAATAAATTTTTTTTTTTTAAATTTTATTTGTGTGTGTGTGTGTGTGTGTGTGTGTGTGTGTGTGGCCAGCTCAGCCCACCAGGGGGCGGGGCTGGCTGGCATGTGGTGCTGGGGATTGAACCGTGGTCCCAGTGCTTTGCTAAACTTGTTCTAAGTAGGTGCTTTAGACCATTGAGCCATCTCACCAGCCCCGTAAATAAATTTTTAAAAAAATTTATAAAAAAAAAAATTAGTGTCTTCCTGGGGATATAGCTCAGTGGCATAGCATCTTTGGCAAATATAAGGTCCTGAGTTCAATTCCTGGCACAAAAAAAAGTGTTTAAACGGGTGTGGTAGTGCATGACAGGCATGAGGATCATGAGTTCCAGGCCAGCCTGGGTTATATAGTGAGACCCTGCCTCAAAGAAAAGGTCTAGGCCCAGAGATGTAGCTCAACAGCACAACTGAACTCAAATGCAAGGCCCTGAGTTTGAGTCCCAGTTACCTCCTACCTCAATAATGAGTTCAGGAGAATTTGTAAAAAGGAAAAGAAAACCGGAAAACTAAAAATGTTGGGCTGGTGAGATGGCTCAGTGGTCTAAAGCCCCTACTTAGAACAAGCTTAGCAAAGCAGAGGGGCCGCGGTTCAATCCCCCAGCACCACATGCCAGCCAGCCCCGCCCCCTGGTGGGCTGAGCTGGCCATACACACACACACACACAAATAAATAAATTTAAAATAAATAAATAAATTTTAAAAATAAAAATAAAAATGTTCATGTTGTCCATGCTCAGACACCGTGAAATAAATGCCGGGCTGGGAACAATTGGGCCTCGTGTTCTATTTATTTATTGAGAAATTCCGCATAGTGTAAAATGCAGCCATTTAAGGTACATTTTTTTAAAGTCATCAACGTGTCCATCCATCACCATTATCTAAATTTAGACCATTTTCACCCAAAGACTCCATGTGAATTAGTAGCCACCCCCCATTCTGTCTCCCATCCCCATCCTGGTAACCACAGTAAAGTCTGTCTAGAATTTGCCTATTATGTTGTTATGTTTTCTTCTTTTCAAAAAGGGTGTCTTGGCTGGCCTTGAACTCACCATGTTGCTCAGGATATAGGACAATCTTCCTGCTTCAGTGTCCCCAGCGTTGGGATGACGTACCTGTGCCAGCACACCCTAACTTTGCTTTTTTTTTCTTTTTTTTTTTTTTTTTGGTGGAACCAGGGATTGAACTCAGGCCCTTGTGCTTGCCAGGCAAGTGCTTATTCCACTGAGCCATCTCCCCGGCCCCCTTTTTTTTGTCTTTTTGAGACAGGGTCTCACTATGCAGTTCAGGCTGGCCTTGAGCTCACTTTGTAGCTCAGGCTAGTCTCGAACTCAGTGACAGTCCTCCTGCCACAGCCTCCCAAGTGCTGAGATTGCTGGGATTACAGATGTGCAGCACCACACCTGGGTCGGAAAGGTGTTCTGTTTTGTTTTTGTTTTTGTACCAAGGATTGAAGTCAGGACCTTGCGCTTGCCAGACAGGCCCTTATGCGCAGAGCTATCTCCCCAACCCTTGGTGGGCTGTTTCATTTTTGAGAGAAGTCTCCCTGAGAGGTCGGGGTGATAGCTCAGCAGAATAAGCGCTTGCCTAGTAAGCACAAGGGGCTCACGGTTCCGGAAAAAAAAAAAAAAAAGTGTCCTTGGCCGGCTTCGAACCTTTTGGTTACTTGCTTATTATGACTGAGGCTGCTTCCAGCATTCAAGTCCGGGTTTTGGTGGTGGGCATGTTTCATGCGTCTGGTATACATCAGGAAAACGGTGACTTTCTTTAGCCTTTTGAGGAGCTGCCTGACTGTCCTCCACCGCATCTGTCTCATCTCACATTCCTCGGGGCAGGATGCCAGGGGGGGTGCGCGCCAGGACAGGCGCCAGGTTCGCCGCACCAGCTCCAGCAACCCCACTTTGCGCATGTGCGTTGAAGGGCAGGCAGCACTCGGGGGCGGGGCTTGCCGTCGTTAGGGGGGGGGGGGGGTGGGCGGGGCGTACTGCGCACGCGCCCCGGAAACGGAAGCCGGTGCGCCTTCCGGGCGGTGGATTTGAGGAATTGCTCGGTCGCCAACAGCGCCTCTGAGGGAGGAGTTGCAGCCAGCTTGGCCATGCCGTCCGAGGGTCGTTGCTGGGAGACCCTGCAAGCCCTGAGTAGTTCCAGCAAAGGTCGCCTCTGCTACCACAGGGACTGGTTGCAGCGGGGTGAGGTGAGTGGTGACACCGGACGGTGGGACTTGTGCTTTCCCCGGCCGCGCTCGCTCTGCGCCGGGAACCTGTGCGTTCCGATAGCCCGCGTTTATTTCCTCTGTGTGTGTGTGTGTGTGTGTGTGTGTGTGTGTGTGTGTGTGTGTGTCTGTGTCTGTGTCTGTGTCTGTGTCTGTGTGTCTGTGTCTGTGTGTCTGTCTGTTGCGCTTCTGCCCTTTCCAGGGCGATCGAGGAACTTCATTAGCATCACAGCCGGAGTTAGGTGCACCTTTTTCTTGTTGACAGTACAACCCTGGGCTTTTGGGGTCTGCTTTTTATGTGGTTTTGTTTTGTTTTGTTTTGTTTTGTTTTTGAGGCAGGATTTCACTCTGTACTGTAGTTAGGCTACCTTGAACTCACTATGTGATGTGTAGCCCCGGCTGGCCTCGAACTGGAGATCCTTCCGCTTCAGGCTCCGGAGCGCCGGGATTACGGGCGTGCGCCACCACGCCGGGCCACAGTCTGTTAATTTGCTGTGCATTTTATGTGCCGAGAGCTCCGGATTTAGGAGGGCGATTCGCCGCTTGTTTGTGAAATGGCCAAATGTTTAGATGGCACCGGGGCCACCTGTTGAAGTTGGGGCGTGGTTACTTGTTGTACCTATTTTAAAAGGTCAGTACTAAAGGTCCGGGGTGGAGACAGTTAAAGCAGAGACTCAGTTTCCGAATTGCTGGTAATCTAGCTACAGATATACATATGCTGTCCTGTCTCTTCAGACTTATGTGGAAAACAGTTCTAAAACTATTTCCTTGTCTTCATCGCTTCTTGGCCTTTTGGCTAAGATCAGGTGTAACTATTTCCTTGTCTTTCATGTCTTTGGAAGTTTCAGCCAGGCACAGTGGTGAATTCCTGTAATTCCAGCACTCAGAAGGCTGAGGCAGGAAGATTGTCCCCAGTTGAAGGCAGACCCCCGGTACATAGCAACACCTTGTCTCAACCAGTACACCGCTTGCTCGCTCGCTTGCTTTTCTTTCTTTCTTTTGCAGTACTGGGAATTGAACTCAGGACCTTGCACTTGCCATGCAAGCACTTATGCTGCTGAGCTATCTCACCAGTCCTCTGGGCCAATTTTTAAAGAATATGGATTTAGGGGTTGGTGAGATGGCTCAGTGGTCTAAAGTACCTACTTAGAACAAGCTTAGCAAAGCACAGGGACCGAGGTTCAATCCCCCAGCAACACATGCCAGCCCCCCCCCTTGGTGGGCTGAGCTGGCCCCTCCCCACACACATAAATTAAAAAAAAAAGAATATAGATTTATATTTTATAGCTTGACCCCCAAGCCTGGGTATTGGGGTGGACTTCTCCTCCCCCTCCCCCTCATCCTCCTCCCCTGTTCCCTCCCCCTTCCTCTCCTCTTCTTCCTCCCCCTCCCCTTCCCCTCCTCCTCCTCCCCCCCCACATTGAAAGGCTGATGCAGGAGGATCACTATAAGTTCAAGACCAGCATGAACTACATACCAAGACCCTGTCTCTAAAAAAAAAATCAGTTGATCGGTTATTCAAAAAACAGAAGAAGAAACAACACAAAGCTGTGTTCTACTAAGTCACATTGGGGATACACAGAGAACCCACCCCGACACTGGTGATGCTAAACTAATTGTGGTGTGTGTGTGTGTGACTGAGAGATACTCATCTCTTTTTTTGGGGGGGGGCAGCTCAGCCCTCCTTGAGGGTGAGGCTGGCGCAGCATGAGGTGCCAGGGATTGAATCGCAGTCTCTCCACCTGCCTAAGCTTGCCTGAGCAGACGCTTTAGACTGCTGACCTGTCTTGCTGGCCGAGAGATACTCATCATATTTGCCAGCTCTCCACTTAATTCCTTTTCCTCTTGGTAATTGAATAATATTTGGTGGGATTTTTCCATAGATAATACCAGTATCTTTTTTTTTTTTTTCTTTTTGGAGAGAGGGTGTCATTATGCAGTTCAGGCTCAGATTGAGCTCACTTTGTAGCCCAGGCTGGTCTTGAACTTGCAGTGATCTTCCTGCCTCAGCATCTGGAGTGTTGGCATGGTAGGCACGCACTACCACACCCAGGCTCATTGATACTTTTAACTTCTATGAGGTTATGAAATCTTGTATCGTCCCCATCCCTTCTTTTTTATTGATACCAAGAATCAAACTCAGGATCTTGTGCCTGCCAGATAGGTACTTGTGCCACTGAGCTATAGCCCTGGCTCCTGTCTACATTTTTGGGGGGCTGGGGAGATAGTTTAGTGGAATAAGTGCTTGCTTGGCAAGTGCAAGGTCCTGAGTTCGATACCTAGTACCACCAAAAAAATAAAAATGAAAAATAAAAGGAGAACATGTCTACATTTTTTAATGGACTCAAGTTCCTGTTTAACTTAATGAGCTGTTATCCATTTATACATATATTTAAATGTCACAGATTTGGCCATTCAGAGCCATTTCTTTTTTAAAGTTGACTCCTGTGTTTCCATCATTTATTGACACTTCTTTCTTCTTGGTATCACAGGTTTTCCTAAGTGCCAATTTTACTCTCCATAGGCCAACTCTGGACTCTAGCTATTTCTCCAAAGCCTAACATTTTAAAAATGGATGATGGAGGGCTGGTGAGATAGCTCAGCGGACTAAGTGCCTGCTTAGGCAAGTGGAGGGACAGAGGTTTGAGTGCTGAGCTGGCCACAGAGACCAGGCGTGGTGGCTCACGCCTGTAATCCCAGGGCTGGGGAGGCTGGAAACAGGATCACTACAAGTCTGAACTGTGTAGTGAGACCCTGTACAAAATACATAAATATAAAAGAAACAAAATAAAATGATGATGGTAATGGATGTATATATTTTATTTTTTTTGTATTTTAAGGAAGAGTCTACAGGGTTTTCAGGGTCTCACTGCTAGTGATCCTCCTGTTTACAGCCTCCCAAGAGCTGGGATTACAGGTGCGTACCACCATGCCTAGTCTCAATTGCCCTCTCAGTGTGCCCTGGAGGCGGGGCTGTCATGGTAGGCCTGGGGATCGAACCCCCGGCCCCTTCACTTGAATTCACTGAACTGTTTGGCTGTCCCTGGTACTGGATGCATTTAGAAATAAAAGTCTGGGAGCTCAAGTACACTTATCTGGGCTGGCCAAATAGCTCAGCAGATTAAAGCGCCTGCTTAGGCAGATGCAGGGACCAGGGTTCGATCCCTAGTGTGCCATGCCCCTCCCCCGGGGTGGGGGTGCTGAGACAGTGATTGAGACTGGGCGTGGTGGCACATGCCTGTAATCCCAGCATTTAGGAGGTTGAAAACAGGGTCACTATGAGTCTGATCTGTGTAGTGAGACCCTGTAGACCCTGGACTAAATACATTTTTAAAAAGTACACTTATCCCTGGTTGGCTCCTACTGTTTTTAGGCCTCAGTAGATAGAGCTAGAAAATATGTATGTGCATATATGAAGACAAAGGTATACACACACTTTATGTATGGTATCTGCATCTATTGCTGTGTGTGTGTGTGTATACATATACATGTTTATATATACATATATGACCAGGGATTTAGCTCAGTGGCACAGCACCTGCCTGGAAAGCGTAATACCTATAACTACTACCTCCAAGCCACTAACTCAGGGTTGTTTCTAACTTGCCCTCATCCATTTTTATAAGTATGTTATGCAACAGGGAGAAATGTGGCTCCTATTATTTATTTAGTCTTTTTTGGGCTAGGGAGAGGGCTCAGTGGAATAAGCACTTCCCTGGCAAGCACAAGGGCCTGAGTTCAATCCCCGGTTCCGCAGGGGGGAAAAAAAAGTCGTTTTTGAGATAGTATGTGGCTATGCTGTTCAGACTGGCTTTGGCTTACTTTGTAGCCCATGTTGGTCTTGGATGACCCTCCTGCCTAGGCTCCTGAGTGCTCTGAGCATTGTTGGGATTACAGACCTGCCACCACCACACCCGGCCTGATTTTTGAATTTTAGGATACAGAGTGCCTCTGAAAAATTTCCTACCCTACGATTCAGTATTTGTGTGCTTTTTTTGTCCTTCCTTGGTCTGAAAGTTTTTGGCCACAGTGCATCACAAGTGATTTAAGCTGGACACAGCGGTGCACACTGTGACCCCAGCTACTCAGAAGGCCAAGGCAAGAAAATTGGGATTTCCAGGTGAACCTGGGCAGTTTCACAAAATCCAACCTCAAAATTAGAAAGGGTTGGGAACTGGGGCGATAGGTCAGTGGAATAAGTGCTTGCCTGGCAAGTGCAAGGTCAATCCCTGGTACCACAAAAAAAAAAAAAAAAAAAAAAGACTGAGGCTGCAGTACTGAGGGCAGCGGGACCAGGTTGTTCCGTATCTGTCCTTGGTGGTACAGGCCTGCCGAGCAGCTAGGAGAGAGACTGAAGCGAGCATCGCAAGCCCATGAGTTCCATGGGACCAGGCTGGCCAGACACCTCTTGTCAAATAGAAACAGGAACAAGAATTATTTGGGTTGTTTTCTTTTTCTTTTCTTTTCTTTTCTTTTTTTTTTTTGCGGAACCAGGAATTGAACTCATGCCCTTGCACTTGCCCGGGAAGTGCTTATTCTACTGAGCTATCTCCCCAGCCCTGGTTGTTTTCATTTTGTATTCCATTTAAGAATTTTTCTACCGTTCTTGTGGATTTTAGTTATTTTGAGTATGTGAAACATTAAGATGACTGTGAAATAACTATGAAAAGGTATTCCAGAGAAATGTCATTTTCTTAAATTCACATCTACTCTGTAGGTAAACCATGTGATTAGTTTCCAGTTCATCTTTCCTGTGCTTTTTGCCTAACTAAACAAATATGTTTTCTTATTTCTTTAAAAATAACTTCCTGGCCTGGTGAGATGGCTCAGTGGTCTGGAGCACCTACTTAGAACAAGCTCAGCAAAGCACAGGGACCACGTTCAATCCCCCAGCACCACATGCCAGCCAGCCCCGCCCCCTGGTGGGCTGAGCTGGCCACACACACACACACACACACACACACACACACACACGCATGCGC